CTCAAAATATAGGAAGGAAAGACTGTCATATAGTGAACTTTTATTGAGTGCCTACTGTTTGTCACACACTTTGCTGTTTCTGTACCTGAATTTAGTCACTTATATATCCCAATGGCTCCTTGAGGTAATGGACACTGAAACAGGCTCAGCAAGTTTAAGAAGTTTGCCCCAAACCTGGAGCTAGATGGTGGAGGGCTGGGATGCAAATCACAGCTGTCTGGTTTGGGAGCTTGCATTCTGAATCACCATGGATGCCTTTTGGATGTAAAATGTGCCTGAAATGATGAAAGTTTAGCAGATAAAAGAACTGAAGGTTACAATAATCTCCTAACAGAGAAAGCATGTCTTAGAGAACCAAAGACTTTGCACTGCAAACATCTTGTTTTACAGGTGGGGAAACTCTAGCCAAGGCAGCTCAGATGAGTTTGTGAAGGTTAGTTACAGCTTGCTAATGGCAGAAGGAAGACTGGAGATGAAGTGGGTTTTCCTGACATTTGTTAATTCCACCAACATTTATGGTCCCAAGCAGTTTTTTAGGTATTAAAGACAAAGAACAAGACAGATCAGGTCCTTTCTGGTAGGGAGATTACACCATGACCAGAATAGTGATTTGACATTTGAATAGACAACTAAGTGGAACACCCACGTTAAAATATTAGAAAGTGGGCTGGGCTATGGGCAGGGGAAGGGGAGAGGCTTTATATACATTCTACTCCATTTTATAGATGAATTCACTAATGTTCAGTGGCATTAAATAACATGTCTAATTCATAAATGTTAGACACAAGATTCAAACCTTCACAGTAGATGGGGGGGAGGGAGAGAGAGAGAGAGAGAGGAGTAAGAGAGTAAGAAGGACATCACAACCTCCTGGTTAAGGAGTAGCTCTTAACATGAATCAATAAATCTGGTTGGAGCAAGGTGTCTAGTTAGATTGTCAGATTTCCTGGAACCAGAGATACCCATTTTTTTTTTTTTTTTTTTTTTTGGCAGAATCTAGACAGCCTGAAGAAGCCTACTACCTTTTTCTTCATGCTTAATCTTTAGAAAGTCAAACTCATGGATGAGCATTTGGTTCAAGTTCTTCAGCTCCAGGTCAGGGAATCTCTGATGTTAGGGAATATCGACTACTCTGGTAGCTGCAGAGGAGATGCAGAAACACCGGAGCTGGGGACAAACATGCCACCTCCAAAAATTAAAAAGAAAAGAGTTTATCATATAGGTGTGTGAAGATTCACTTTACTCAGAAAGGTCAATTCAGCTGTACCACTTCTATATAGCTCCTTGGAGAGAATTAGCAAAGGCAGTCCCTGTAGGTGGAATTATTAGAATAAAGTATCCATCTCTGAAGGAAATTTGTAAAAGCATGTCTCCAAAAGTCTCCCCATTTGACTGTCAAATTAGAAAAGGAGTCCCATCAGGCAGCCCTGGGTCAGGTTCCTTGGATGGGTGGGCTGCACTACTGCTTAGGGTCCTGGTCCCTAATACTTTAAGGAACTGGATGGGAGTGAGATCTGAACAACTCACTCTCAGTTTCTACAATTCTGTAAGAGTAGGGAGTAGGAACTAGAATGGCGGTGCTTTTTTTTCCCTGTGAGAATTGCTATCGATCCTGTGGAGGGTTTCCCAGCCAGGAGACTCCATCACTCTGGCCTCTCTGAACTCAGAGCTCACTCACCCCCCTTTCGAATCTAACGTGGCAGAGCTGGCTGGGAGGTGGTTACTGGCTCAGGGCCCTGAAACACTGAGTAATTCCTAGGATGGCTGGGACTGGAGGCACCATTCCAGACACTTCCACGTTGTCTAAAAGCAAAAAAAGAAAAAAAAAAAAATTCTCCACCACCCAGCTCAAACTGTTAGAGGCAGATTCCTTGGCGCTGAAACAAGACCCATCCCTTTTATGGAAGGCCATTGCTGGAAAGTTCCACCATAGAGGAAAGCCAGGGTTCTTTTTCTATTTTTTACAGAACGGGGAGGGGACATGTCAGGGGTGAGAGATGAAAGGGGATGGCTGAAGGGAACCGCATCTCTTTTCCTGAAATTTTTGCATGTACATGATCACTCTTAGTTTAGAAAGATGAAGATTTGAGCTTCCTTGCTGATCTCCACCAGTGTTGACCACTTTTATGGAGCCCCCAGTGCTGTACTAGTGCTATGGACTAATCAAGGCATCAAAAAGCATGAAGTTTATGATTTCAGAAGAAACAGGACAAGATATATTGCACATCAAATCCTATAAACGACAATCCAGCATGGCCAACACAAATAGGCCATTGCAGCTGTGCTCTGGCTGTTTATTTATTGGAGAAGAGAAAGGTACAATCAAGAAAAGGGGGGACCATGTCAGGATGTTATTGGAGTCAAGCAGATTGACTGCCTGGAGTGAGAGTAAAGGCCAGCGATTGAGTCAGAGGCAGGAGAACATTGGAGGCATGGACTTAGAGCCCCAGTATTGATTTTAAATTGAATTTCAGGTTTTGCTGCAATTAAAAGCTACTGCAAGGTTTTGAGAAATTGTATGATCAAATCATTAGAACAATGTGGTTTTTATTTTAATTAGGAAAGACCACAGGGATGAGAGAGATGACAGGATCAGCTAGTGAGGTAATTCACTAACCAAATAAGTTTAGGAGTCAAAGAGGTCTTTCTGAAATTGACGAATTAAAGCTACAGTATTGTCTGACATTATAACAAGAGGTTTTTACTGTTATCATTATTAATTTTATCTGATTCAGTTACCTTGTTAGTTCTGACAGGCTTGGATTGCCAGCTTGATTAGTTCCCTCTTATTTGTCCAGAAACACTAAAACACCAAAATTGTACCAGTTTATCAATGTATGCCTTTATAAATGGCCATGGTTTAGGCAAAGTGAAGAGAAAAATGTCTAGACTAAAGGTGACTGAATTATTTCTCTATCTTATTTTGAAAAGAAGGAATTCATGTTTTTCTTTCTCATCGTCAGCCCTAGTCTTGTTGAGGGACTTTAGTGTGAAATCTGAATGTACTTACCAGCTGGGAAAAAATTTGACATTTACTCGATTTTGTCCCTTGGAAGTAAAAAAAAAAAAAAAAAAAAGGGAGCTTTATTAAACACCAAATCTGCTTATTTATTTCTTCAATCACTCCCCAGGTTGCAGGCTCTTTTCAAAGCTCTGATAGACCTCTCACCAGTTTTCTAAAGGTAATTTCCCAAAGTGCTGCCTGTAGCTATAGAAAATGCCACGTAGGTTTCTGGATTTATAAAGGCTGAGAAAGCCATTTTGGTTACACTTGCAGCTTTTTCTGTGGTTCTGGGTGGTAACACCCGATTGCCAACATTACTCTTTCCTTCTTCTGGGAAGAGCCATAATTGTACTTGGCTTGGTTGACACAAAGGCCTCTGAAAAATATGAAGCTGATCCCTCTAGTGTTCTTTTGTGAAGACTACAGTACAGAAGGCTGAAGGGAGGGAAACAGCACACAATGCCACAAACAACAGCTCCGAAAATTAATTTGTTTTTTAAATGACATCAATAAAATGACTTGGAATGACAATTCTGTGTGCTGCACAGAGTATTGACAAAAAAAATGTTGGAACTTTTAAACAATTCATGTATGTGTTGCAGGCATGCAATTGGCTACCATTATGGGAGAATGTGTGGCATTGAGAATTATCTGAACAGATAATAAACAATTTAAATAACATTGGCCAGAGTTATCAGAGGTACAGAGGCAATGTAAACTTGCCTCGTTTTCAGAAATGAATTTACTCCACTGGTTAGGATTGTCTGACTATATTCATAGGCTTTTTCTGGTCATAAACAGAGAAGAAGAGATTTTATATATTTCTACATTCCGTTTCTGATGTTCCCTGATGTTCAATAAAAAGAGTATGCTATCTTTATGTTTTTCTTTGACATTTTCTTCTACGTTCAGACATTTATTAGACAGCTATTCTATTCCAGGCACTGAAGATACAAAAATGATAAGAGAGACTCACTTCTCTCAATACACTACATAATCCCACTGGGAGATAACTTCCAACTACAATAGAGATGTATGCAAAGAGCTTGGGACAGGGAAATGATATTAATTATTAATATTACTTAGCAAGGGAGATGAGATATTTAAACTGGGTTTTGAAGAATGATTGAGAGTTAGAACTCTCAGATTGGAGATGATTCATGATTTGGCATCTCTAACAGCTTGGTTGGGTCCAGTTTTTAGGGAGAGCTGTGGCATGGTGGGCAGCTGTGCAGCGTTAGCTCCTCCTGAAAACCACCTCAGAATTAGTCCAGTGTCTCTTCTAGTAGCTTCTATCCTTCACATTAAGTAACAAGAGCTACACCATAGAAATGTCACTGTACAGTTTAATGAACATAAAATGTGGAAGCATCGTAGGGATCGATATTTGGACTGCTGCTATAATTTGGAGCAGAAAGAGGAACTGCAAAAGCAAAACTAAGTGAAATAGAGTAGAACCAAATTCGTTGTGCAGCTAAAAGCAGGTCCTGATTGAGGGAGTCAGGCTCTCTTTCATGATTTCTAAGAGCCCTTCCAGTTCTAAGAGTCCATGAATCAATTTTCAGAAATATTATCCAAAGGACTGATTGCCCCAGAGAGTCTAGGTAACCACACAGCCACCTGAGATCTTACCACACTGATATTTCCACCAGGCATTGCCTAACAATTCTTGTATAAAAAAAGACCCCCATCTGACAAGATAATATGAACAGTGACACTGATATGAAAGTTCACTGGCTGGAAGACATTGAGGCAGTTTTCAAAGGCTTTTTAACTCTGACTCTCTTGGGCTATAGTTTTGCACATTGAGATCATTTGGTTCATAAGTAAGATATGTCATCTGCAGTGATTATATTTACAGTTTACATGTACCATCAAAACCAATTCATAGTCATAAAAGTTAAAAGCATATTAAAGATCCTAAAAATGTAGAAGGCAAAATTGTGTTGTAATTCAGTATGAATGTCAATATAGTAAAAAAAGATCTTATAGGCAGTTAAAGTATTATTATTATTGTTTTATTGAGACTTAACTTTAGTATTTCAATAGCTCCGTAATCTTACAACAAAACATGGTTTAATGGCAAAGGCACCAGAGTATCCATCTAATGAAATTACTCAAGTGTAAAATGCCATAAGAGGCATGCTGAAATACATATTAAACAGGAGAATTGAGAACTACAGATTTAAATTGATCATGCTCATTTCTGGTTCTCACAGTTCTTTGGACATCAGAGTTTCTCTTGTAAAACCTTTCTTCTAGGCTGTGAGTTCCCATTGATATCTTGAGATTGCCCTTCTGTCTTTAGCCTCTTCACTCCTGCATTCATCACAGTGCAGATTTTGCATCCATCCTTCCAGTGTAAGATAATTTTTATACATGCTCTCAGAACAAATGGATCCTAAATGAATCTGGGAATCAAAATTCAAATATTTAAAAGGAGATCTGCATTTTGTAGTGGGGATATATACTAATTATAGAAGGCGTATGGAGAATGAGGGAATACACATCGTGAGACAGGGCACAAGTTTATTATGCCCTTGAAATCTAAGGATGGCTTACACTTGAATTTCCCAGGGATCTACAGCCTTTGCAGATAAATGAGTCCATGGCCCAAATTTCATTGGCTGATTTTGTTTTCATGAATGATGTTGGACTTGAGAACTTCCAAAATGCCCATCTTCTACCAGACATTTTAGAAACTGTCTCCAGGGGATGTCTCCCATGTGTGAAGGAATAAGCAACTTCCCTTGACTTGCAGCTGTATTCCTGCACACTGCAGGGTCTCTTTCTCTTTGCTTTTCCCTGCATTTTAGCTCCCCATCCAGTTATGCTAATGCTTTCCCAGGTATATTAGCTACTGTCCCTGACACTACTGATTTTTACTGGATATTGACACAGGTTCTTTAGAATCTTTGAGATGCCAAATCTGGGAAGAGAAAGAAGGAAGGGAGGGAGACAGAAAGGAAGGGAGGGAGACAGGAAGGAAGGAAGGAAAGATTTTTCTCCCTTTGTTTCATGGTTGGCAGTGCTGTTTATGCCTTGGCATGTTATGTACCAAAACATTCTTTGAAGGTTTTATATACAGCTCTTTCTATTGAGACTAAACCTTCTCTATATGCACAGAAAAAAATATCAAAAGGTAAATTTGGGATTCAAAGTTATTTTTATTTTCTTCTCAATACTTAAAATTTTCATTTAAAATTTTGAGTAGGTATAAAATTTTACTTAAAAGAGAAAGGAAAACATCTACAACTTAGGGTTCTGAGCTTGAGTATGATGTCCCCAAACTAAAACTTAACAGGGAAAACCAAAGTCAGTTTACCATTCTAAGTTAACACTTTTATTGTACTCCATTTATACCTAAAGAGGGTTTGATGGTACCTATGATAATTAGAGAAAAGGCAAGGTTAGAAATGAAAGTTAAAGCCCAAAGAAAAGGAGAGTAGAAAGAGTGCTCAAGGAAGAAATAAAAGTAATTTACTCTGATAAAAAAGAATCTAAAATGACTAATGGAAAAAGACCTTGTCACTGAGGAAAATGAGAAAGAAGGAGGCACTGCTTACATCAATAGGTAGTTCTCTGTCTTTATTTTCTATGACGCTATATTGTGAAATCCTGCTAGCTCTTTGATAGCTCACCTCCAGGGCTAAACTAAGAAATCCAATTACTTTTCTAGAAGCTGTAGTGATGACCAACTAAACTGTGGCCCTTGGGGACAGTATTTGTATCCTTTGACAGCAATTAATGAAACCAATAAATCAATTAGTTAAATTAAATTAAGGTCCACCCAGCTGTTTCCACAACCTACCCATGTGTAACTAAATGTGATTATAAGGGTGCCCTTGACGTGAAGCGGATACAATTCAAGTGATCTTTACTGTCTTTATGTCCTAATTGTACCCCCCTTTATAGAATTATAGTTATTCTACTTTTATCTTGGCTCTATATTGGAAGAACTTTGCTTGGGGGAGAGTTCTTGATAGAAGCAGCAGAAATATTGTTTGTTCGTACCACTGAGTGATAAGTGACACCACCAGGGACCAGGTCTTTCTATTTGTTTTTTTCTTGGAGTTAATGTATCTCATTTTTCTTCCAAAATAATCACTGTATCAATACCCATTTTCAGTTTCAAGGAGGAGGTCTTCTCTTCCTTGACAACGCTGACTCCTCCAACTTCTGCCTTTTTCTCTAGGATCTTTTTGATTGCTCTCCTTCCCTCACTGGATTATGCTGTTCCTCTGGTTAGCTTCATTTTATTTCCATACTTCCCAAAGAAGTAAACTGTTTCCCCTGATTCTGCTTCTTCCCCACCTCCTCCACACATCAGCATTCTCACATCTCCAGCCACTCCTTTCTATGTTATCAATATGTCTTCTCTACATTATCAATTGCCTATCTGGCAGGTAGGCAATTGTTCTGCTCTACTGATAATGACAGAGTTAGCCTGTCCCCACCCAAGATCCTCTCCTTGACTTCTCTCTAGACTTGGACACTCTTGACCAATCCTTCCTTCCCGAACTGCTTTGAGATTAACCATGCTACATAACCACCTCCTCTCTTTGTATTCTTTACCACCTTCATTAATTCTTACATCCATCAATTCCCTCTGCATGTCCATTAAATATATATCAAGTACCCACTTGGAAGGCATTGCTTTGGGTCCCAAATATAAAGATAAATAAGACATGCCTTTGAGCGGCTCATAGGATAGTAGAGGAGGCAGAGGTGCCCAGAGTGCTATAATGTGGCCAAATTGTAATAAAATCTTCTGCTACACGGATATACAGGAAGAAGAGGGTAATTTTGCCTAGTTGTAACAGAAAAGGACAAGATCGATGATATCTATGTTGAGTGACCAGGATAAGAAGAGATAAGTTATTTCAAACATGGAGAGTGGGATGTATAGAGACCTGGAGTTAGAAAATCCAATACGGAGTTTGGTGACTTTGAGAGTATTGTCTGTGTAAGATAACGTTGAAAATGTAGACTGTGGCCAGACTCTGAAGAGCTTTGAATGTTGGACTAGGGTTTAGACTTTTTCACTAGAAATGTGTGGGTTAAGATTTTTGAGAAGATTCACATAATCTTACATCAGTTGCAAAAGACACTTGTCAGCAGCGTGGGGAAGAGATTGGAGTTGGGGGACCATTTAGCAGCTCATTTCAATGGTCTAGGGGAGAAATGATTAGGACTTGAACCAGGAGAGCTGTGGTGGGAAGGGGTACTAGACAGCTTGTACAGGAAAAATGGATAAAAGATAGTGTTGATTTGACATTAAGAATTGGGGATAGAGAAAAACAATTTAAATATAACTCCCACGTTTCTGAAATAATTTTTAGGAGCTGTCATGCCCCTGTGCAAATGTTTTAATACTTTCTCACTGTCTCTTTGCAGTGTTTGAAATAGAGTTTCTGTATCAGTCAACATTCTTTTGGTTATAAGCAAAAGAAATTGACTCTGCTTAATCAGTCTGAGAAAAAAAAATAATATTTAGATGGATATTGTGGTTTCTCACAAAGGTTAAGAAAGGCTTGAACGATCTAGCATCATGAAGGGTAGAAATCAAAGTAGTGACAGATATCTCAGAATAAGGAATTCATGAATATTTTCTCTAGAATTCTGTTATTGAAGTAAATGAATTCCCACAACCCTAGGCTCTCAGTTCAAATCTGTACACATTTGGGGTCTGATTGGGCCTACGTGAGCCAGTTGTTTGCGCAGCTTCATTCAGTTGCGACTATAGGATCAAGGTCCGATTGTACAACTCTGGCCACTAGAGGCCATATCCTTGTGTCCAAGGTGAGCCTCTAAATAAAGAGGAGTCTTTGGGAGTTGGACAGATACCTCATGGGAGGGGTGTTCTATATGCCCTGGATTGTTTTGTGTCATGGATCTTTTCCCAGAAAAAATACTGAATCACAAAAATACATAAGGAGATTCATGAATCCTTTGAAAATTATGCAAAAACCCATATTAAGAACCCTTTTTCTTAAAAAATAAAGTTCACACTTCTTAGCCTGATTTTCAAGGACCTTTGTGATTGGATTTCTAAGAGCCTTTCACTGGTCTTGTATCTCATTCTTCTTTCTTCAAACACTCACAGTTAAAAAACAAATTACTTTCCAAACTCTGAACCTTTAATCACGTCATTTCTTTTCTTTATAGGAAATGTCCAAATCCTACTCATCCTTTAATGGTCGAGCTGAAAACCTGTTTCTTTTATGAAGTCTTCCTTGACTCATCCATCAACACAGGGGTGACGCCCCCTCTTTTCTTGTCACTCATAATACTTTACACCTCTTTTTCTCATGACATTTATTACTTTCGTCTTTCCATTATAGTTTCTATATAGCTTATCTTTGCTTTTAGTTTCCAAGATGATCAGAAACAGAAACTGGGTGTCATTCAGCTTTATGCCTTGCACCTCTAATGTTCTCTGCATGCGTGGGGCACTCAAGACATGCTTGAAAAATGAGTGAAAGGCTACTTACTGGGGAAGAAAGGGCCCCTGTCTAATTTTATCCTGCTTGTATTTTTACAAGCTCTTCTTTTCAGAGGAATGAGGGTTTTTTTCCTTATTTTTCTTTTTATTATACTCATTTTCTTGGGCTTTGTGTTTTATCTCTGCTTATTTCCTGGCAAATCCTATCTTCTCCTTTTTATTTTTCATTTTCCCATCATGATAAAATTTTCCCCCTTTAGTTTTCTAAAATTATTATTAATTTGAATGACTTTCTTGTTTTCATTTGTCCTAAAAACCACAGCCTTTACTTTGGCTTCATTATTCACAGGAGGGAAAAATCTGATCATTTAGATACGCACTTTCTCCTAATTGAAAAGCATTGTTTTCAGATGTACTAAAGGGGAGCTATAAAATTACAGAAAGCAGTGACTGATGTTTACATTTTAAACAGCAGAGTTTTGCTCATTCCCACTCCACTCCATTATTCTTACTTCCTTAAAAATGATAGATTTAGAAATCACCACTAAAATATTTAAATTAACCTGAGCTGAATGAAAGAGTACCTTCTCCTTGTTTCAAGTGCAAAACCACACTTGCAAAATGGCCCAATAGGAATCTTTTCTATGTGTGAACTGTTTCCTGGTGGAACTGGGATTGGAGGTGGTTGGGGGTTGTTACGCCATGCATGGAAAAACAGCATCCTCTGCTGGTGGGAAGGCCTCTGAGGCTTGAGAAGCCTGAGTGTTGAGAGTCAACAAAGCTTTGGAAAATTCTTGGCTAGCATATCCACTCTAGATTGGAAATCAATTCAAGGTTTCTAATGATTATCGTTCATGATATAACTGAAACTTAGTTAACTTCACAACATTGAAAATCAGTGATAAATCTTCCTATCCTCCCTTTTTCTCCTCTCCCCAGGACTTTCCTAACAGTTAAGAATTGCTCTTATTCTTAAATCCCTTGGAAATTCTTATGATGCAAAATTTTTATTATGGTTCTGTAACAATATATGTTGGTTCAATGAGAGCAACTTGATGTCATGATTACCATTAAATATTTCATTAGAAACCAGCTATGGCAGTGTTCTTGGGTTCTCTATGTAGCTGCTTTATTAGGGAGCCCATCTCACAAACTGATGTCTTCTTGGTATTTATACACCCTTGGCTGGGGTCCACAACCAGCCATCATTAAATGAAATTTCCATCTGTAGCAAATATGTGTGAAAATGAATGTATCTTGTGTTTATTAGAAAACTATGGTACTTGACATTTTCTTCTGTCTCATACAGACCACGTTGGCTCAGCTTGGCTTCTCCTACTTCAGATTTCTGTCAGTTAGCTAACTCACCCCAGATTATTGACTTTATCATGCTACTCATGGAATCTTGCAAAGTGGCATCTCGCTGGGACAGGAGGAGAAGTAAGGTGGGGTAGAGTTAAGGACAAATAATCACTGGGCAAATATACTGACTTTTATAAGATTTATGAATTGCAAAATTTCATCCATCCATATCTGTAATTGTCAGGCACACATAGTTTGTTGTTGTCATGACTGACATATTTCCCAGAGTGACCATCTGCTGTATGAAGGAATATGAAGACAGGAGAACATTCCACAGGCTTTTTGAATAGGAAACTTCCCAGGAAGTTCCATTTGTAGGTATTTTCATATGAACTTGATGGGTTGGCAGTTTCTTTCATTAGTGTGCTTCAAGGACTGTGTCCATGCTATTACTCTTTATCTCTAGCTCATTTGGAATTAAAGAAGTTCCCAGTATCATATCAGCACATTTTCTAAATTTCAAATTAGTTTCAATTTAAAACATTTTGTTTTAAGAATGATACTCATTTTTTTCTCAGGGGGTCTGACGCAGATGTGAACCAAGTCTGGGTTTATCAAAATTTTTTCTTTGGTCTGGTTTCATGGAGAAGGTTAATAACTAGTAACTAATATCTGCATACATTCTTTTGCCGTATAATCACAACCACATCCACTTACAGTTCTATATTCTAATTTCTTTATGATGAAGCAATTAGCATTAAACCATCCTGAGCTTATTATGATTACAATGGGTGCTATAATCATAGTTAGTCATAACTGTAATTATCATCACAAATATGATGGCTATTAAACTAAATTTTAATAACTCACTCTATCATTAATATAATTGGTATTGCTAACTTCATGCCCTCTTATAAGCTGCATAATAATGAATAATTGACAAAGAAGTGGAAATACGAATCACGAAGCACAGAATAAGAAATTCTGTTCCCTGTACTAATGGAGTGAGTACCAAAATTTACTTATAAACCTAGAGTTTGAAACCCAACACATTCTTCTCAATACTAATAGTTCTATGAATAATGTTGAGTCTCCCAAGTGAGCTTCTGCTTCAAAATCTATTTAAACTGTAATACAGATTAATGTAGGACAAGCAAGAATTGGATTGGGCATCTAGGTCAGCATCAAGCCATATGGAGAAGGAGGGAGAAAGAGAAAGAAATTTTCTTTTCTTTCTTGGAAGCAAGGCTGATAGGCAAAGTTTAAAAATAGTGCAATTTTCTCTCACCTCCAGTTCTAGTTCACTACAGTGGAATCTTACTTAAGTTACACTAGGATGGTGGGAAAATGGCTATTTCATTTCCACTAAGGATCACTGAGCAGAGGAAATGAACGTAAACCTTGGAAACAGGCTTCCGCCCACATGTCCGGGGCTTGTCCTTGCCTGTAGCTGTTTTCTTCCTTACCTGGCTCTCAGCATTTGCGAGTGCCGGGAGTTTGGGATGCACTTCCTCCACTTGTTGTAGAAGACTTTGGGGTGTCAGGGAAGAAATCTGGAGGTTAGCAGCTTTTGCGCCTCTATTCTTCTATACTTTTTTTTTTTTTTTTTTTGAGACAGAGTCTTGCCCTGTCACCCAGGCTGAATGTCACCCAGGCTGAAGTGCAGTGACACGATCGCGGCTCACTGCAACCTCCACCTCCCGGATTCAAGCGATTCTTCTGCCTCAGCCTCCCGAGTAGCCAGAACCACAGGTGCCTGCCACCAGGCTTGGCTAATTTTTGTTGTTTTTAGTAGAGACGGGATTTCACCATGTTGGCCAGGCTGATCTTGAACTCCTGACCTCGTGAGCCACCCGCCTCGGCCTCCCAAAGTGCTGGGATTACAGGCGTGAGCCACCGGGCCCGGCTGCTGCTTCACCGTTAACCGTTTGCAATTGTTTCCGCAGTCTCTCCTACAGCTGCCCTCTACTGGTCAATCTTAGTAACCCAGCTTAGCACAGGTTTTTCCATCTTTTGCTGCAACTATTTCATCCTTCCATACTCTCTTTTCCCAATCTCCAGTTTTTCACCTGTCCTGCTCTTGATTTTTTTCTCCTCCCACTGAACATTAATTAATATATATTCTGTCTTCAACACTGTGCTATGTGGTGTTATTCCCTTGCTTAAAAATCTTTACAGCTTTATTTTGCCTTTATAAAAAAGTCCAAATAGACCCAGTAAGCTACTCTCCTAGAATATCTCCTAGTATGCTCCATCTTGTATGCTATGCCTCAGTAACATGGTTCTCTCAATGGAGCATGCATTTACACATCATTTTATGTTTTTTCCAAGCTGTTTCCTCTGCCAGGAATGTCTTCCCCCTTATTTTCCTGTCAAAGGTTTGATAGTCCTTCAAGACCAAATTTAAACTTTTTTTTTCATGAAGTATTTCCCAATTGCTAGTCTCATTCACCTTAAAAGTAGGATTAGTGGCTCTTTTCTGTGTTTTTCACTTATAACTTTACTGCAGTCCTTCATCTAGCACATATTTCAATCATCGGCTATGTGCCAGGCACTATGATAGACATGGAGGATGAATGACACAGGCAATGACCCTGTCCACAAGAAGCTCATCTTCTTTTATTTTGGCCTGAGAAACTGCAATGATAGATTTGTCATTTACTTGAGAAAGGCCATAAGGGGAAACAGCGGTGGGGGTAAAATCAATAATTCAATTTTTGAAATACGTTCAAAAGATCTATTGTACAATATGGTGACTATAGTTACTACTAATGTGTCATATTCTTAAAAATTTATGAGAAAGAAGATTTTAAACGTTTTCACCACAAAAATGATATGTATATGATGTAATGCATATATTAATTAGAGCCATTCTACAATGTGTACGTATTTCAAAACATGCAGTTGCACACAATGAATATATGTATATAATTTTCATTTAAGTAAGTCATTTTTTTTAAAGAATGCAGTTTTTGACCTGAGTGTGAAACACTATTGGATATACACATAGAAGCACGATGTGGGTAGATGAGTGAATGAGTCTCACATACAGGGGAAAAGGCATGTATTTGGGAATTGTCATATATATGTCTAGAAGTCTCCTTAAAGTCATTAGATGAATGAAATCTCCTGGGAGAATGAGAAGAGAAGAGATCTGAGGACTAAAACAGGGAGTCACTTGAATGCTGGAAAGACAAAGAGGAGCCAGCAGAGGGGATCAGGGGATCAACCAGTGAGATGGAAGGAGACCCAAAAGACAGTGATAAATGAAGAAGGTGTTTCAGGAAGGAAGGTTGTGCCCAACTGTGTCAATGTTGCTGATGATCTGAAGAAGATGAAGACTAAGAATTTATCTTTGAATTGGTAATGAGCTGGTCATTGGAGACTCTACCAATGGTCGATTTGTGGGATCAAAAGTTTAGCAACAGTGAGTAGAGGAGAGAAAGAAAAGAGAGAGAGAGCAGAGACAGCAAGTGTAGACAAGTATTTCTAGTGTCAAGGAGGTAGAGAAGTCAGGCAGTTAGTGGTTGGAGGAATGGGAGATCCCATATTTATTTGCATGATGATGGACTGACCCAGTAGAAATAGAAAATGTCATGACATGTGGAAGAGAAAGGACAATTGCAGCAGCAGTGTCCTTCAATAGGTAAGAAAATGTTGTCCTTAGATAGGAGCACTGACCATTGATCCATTTCAATTGGAGGGAATGCAGAGTAGGTGGGCCCAGACGCTAATATCTACCATTTGGTAGTAAAAATGGTGGTAGTGGTTGTGGAAATTCCCACTTTTTTTTCTTTTTTCCAGAGTGAAGTAAAAAGCCAGTTCAGTTGAGAGTGAGAGACAGGGAAAAGGCTGAGAGGATTGGGGAGAGAACAGAAAGAGTGAAATAATGATCTAGGAAAAGAGAGAGAATTCATCTTCCTTGTATTCTTCTATTTCTTTTCAATTCTATCTTTCCCACTGGAACTCCCCTCACTGAACTTCCAGCAGGGGCTTTTCCCCAGAGAAGGATATTGAAAAATGTTGCCTGCATTAATTAATTGAAAGTTCTTCTCTTTCAAATCTGGTCATGGGGGAGTCAGTGGTTCAAGGCTGTTTCAGAGGCTTTGGATAATTAGACTACTCTCCCTTGTAAAATTTACCCACAATCCCTTCCATCTTTCTGTATTTTAAACTAGTAATTTAGCACACTTGCATCTGAGCCACATTTTGCAAAAATATGTTTCTGTTGACATCAGATAAGAGTTGAGTTGTGAAATACATCTCTTTAAAGGATTAACTACGCTTCCAAAAAGGCTCTTTGTTGTGAGATTTGCTACCAGATGGGAAATTCTAGGCTCTGGGTGTTAACAGTATTCTTGTGATTGAAGAAAAATAGCTTCATTTTGTGTAAGCAAAATGAACATATACATGTGAAACACGATGACATTGTAAGTAAATATGCAAATAAGAATAGAAAAACATAGTTAAGTTGCTTATGGAGTAGGGAAATGAAAAGGGAAGAAGGTTGTTTGTTAATTAACCAGAGCATGTCTAGAAAATATTCTCTCTACCATTTGCTTTCCCAGCATGGTTTCAGGAGCTGGGCTGGCAGAAGAAATATTTGACACAGCCCTAACTTTCAAATATGATACAGTTTTGGAGGGAAGCCGTCCTTGTTTTAAAGCATTGGAAAAGTGTTAATGTAAGGTGTGACAGCAATTTTGAAAGCAGTAGAAATCTAATTTGAACTGTACTAGTTAGGAAAGGCTTCCTGGATGAGGCAGGCCTTATACATTGGCAAACTGTTACTTCTTTGAGTGTAACTTTTGTTTGGAGGGCTTGCTTTGATAAAGTGGAAACTCTCTGGCTTTAAACTTTTATTACACTGGGCTTTCTCTGTAATTAATTTTATGGGTATAAATTATATCCTTTCAACTGCAGTGTTTGTTATTCAACAGACATGTTTAGAGCCTACTAAGTGGCTTGGTGCTATGGGTGCCCTTGTGAACTATTTGGTGTCTGCCTTTGAGAAAAATCATAGTATAATAGACAGAGGTTAGCTGGTATGCTTCTTTTTTTTTTTTTTCTTTTAGTTCAACTATAGTAAAAATTTCCATTTCTTGCTAAGCTATATGTTAATTTTTTCCTCTCTTCAAGAAAAATGTCTTTTTAGGTTGATCTATGGAAGATACTGGCAAAAATCACTTGCCCAGTAAGGTTCCTGAGGTGCTGCTTGATGAGGAAGGTTGAGGAGTTACAAGGAGCATCTGTGGGGTGTGCAAAGGGTGAGCCTATTTTAAATTTAGTGTCTAAGCAGGAGATGAATTTCCTTCCAGAAAGGGCTTCCCGTCCGCCATCCACTGTAGAAGATGCTGACTGTTGAGAAGCTTCACTTGCAGCAGATTCTGGGCTCTTAGGTGTAGAAGAACAAGGGATGACTGCTCCTTTTCATTTAGCACACATTTATCACTCACTATGTGCAAGGCACTAAGACAGATGTGGAGGATGCACAACAATGGCACAGGCTCTGCCCTCCACAAGCTTATGTAGGTTGAGTATACCTTATCTGAAATGCTTACGACCAGGAGTGTTTGGGATTTCAAATTATTTAGAATTTTGGAATATTTGCATATACCTAATGAAATGCCTTAGAAATGGGACCCAAGTCTAAACACAAAATTCATTTATGTTTCTTATGCACCTTATATACAGAGCCTGGAAGTAATCTTACGTAATATTTCAAAATAAATTTGTGCATGAAACAAGGTTTTGATTGCATTTTGATTTCAACTTATCATGTAAGACTGTGGAATTTTCCACTGTGGTATCATGTCGGTGCTCAAAATGTTTTGGATTTTGGAGCATTTTGGATTTCAAATTTTTTTTTATTAGAGACTCTCAATCTGTATTTTATTACAGACAATAAGTGAATAGAGAGATACATAAATGGCTCATGTACTGATTATTATTGTGAAGAAAAACAGGCTGTGTAAAGCAGAGTAAGAGGCAATGAGAGAGAAAAGGAGAAGCAGTGCTATTTTGGATTGAGTGCTCAGAGAAATCTACTCTGGTGATGTGAAATTTGCACAGAAACATGAAGAAAGCAAGGAAATGAGGAGCATGTGGGTCAAGGAAGAAGCTCATTCCAGGAAAGCAAGTGACTTAATGAAGGCTAGGAACTTAGGCACTGTCCAACCGGCAGGTGCACAGATGACCCTCTGTGGGAGGCTAGCATGGCTGGTGGCTGGTGGTGTGGCTGGAGGGGACAGCAGGGAGTGGGTGGCAGCATCAACCTGTAATGTGGGACTCACAAAGGCACAGTACGAACCAGCCAGATCTCTCTTCTTAGCCATGCTGGCCGAATATCCCCTGCCTCATGGTCAGGACTTGATCTCTTAGAGAGTTCTGACTCTGTTATCTCAAAAACCCTCTTGTCATTTTCAGGAAGTCCTGAGGTTGTTACTGCCTCGCGCTTATAAAAACCTTTACAGCTTCCTTCAGGGCACTTGGGAAAGTATCTCATTCCTTCTCATGTCCCTTAGGGTCCTGGAGAAACCAGGACCAGTTCCTGCCACTTCCCAAGCTCATCTTGGACCAGTGGTCACCCTCTTTACCTCCACTGCATTTCCTTCACCATGGCA